TTACGTGGTCCAGGGAGGAAAAGGTGTTGCCCTCTAATTCTGTGTTCTGCTTTCTTTCCCATGCAACCCCATTCCTTTAGGAGAAGAAATAATTATAGAATCATAGAATGGCCTAGGTTGGGAGGGACCTTAAAGCTCATCCAGTCCCACCCCCTACCACGGGCAGTGACACCTTCCACCAGCCCAGGTTGCTCCAAGCCCTGTCCAACCTGGCCTTGGACACTTCCAGGGACCCAGGGGCAGTCACAGCTTCTCTGGGCAACCTGTGCCAGGGCCTGCCCACCCTCACAGGGAAGAATTTCTTCCCAATATCCCATCTAACCCTGCCCTCTGTCAGGGGAAGCCATTCCCCCTTGTCCTGGCACTCCAGGCCCTTGGAAATAGTCTCTCTCCATCTTTCTTGCAGGCTCCCTTCAGGTCCTGGAAGGTAATTTTATTGTCTGCAGTTCGGTCACCCCAAAGCTTCTCCTCTCCAGGCTGAACAATCTCAACTCTCCCAGCCTTTCCTGCCAGCAGAGCTGCTCCATCCTCTTATCCTCTTGGTGCCTCCTCTGGACTCTGTTGCAGCAGCTCCATGTCCTTGCTGTGCTGTTCCCCAGGGCTGGAGCAGCTCTGCAGGGGGGGTGTACCCTGAGGGGCAGAGGGGCAGAATCCCCCCCTCCTCTGCTGCCCACGCTGTGGGATCAGCCCAGGGCACGGGGGGTTTCTGGGCTGGGGGCAGGTCCAGCCTCTCCCCCACCAGCACCCCCAGGGCCTTCTCCCCAGGGCTGCTCCCTCTGCGGCCCAGCCAGCAGCCCAGGAGTGATCTCCGTGAGGGTGTCACTGCTCTGGCTCTGGGCCTGGGCAGGAGGGGTGGGGCAGGGCAGAGGCGAGCTGATGGCAGACTGATCTGGCACAAAGAGGGGCAGAAAGACAGAGGGGTGTGGTGGAGACTCAGAGGAGGTGGAGGGTGTGGGCTTGGAGCAACTCAGCCTGCTTTAGGGTCACGCCTTCACACTTGGAGGTGATGCACCAGCACAGCAGCTTCGGGAGTTCCTTGTGTGCTTCATAGCATCAATAACTGAGCTGCTTTTATTTCTCCCACGAGGAGGGTATTTCACCCTTTTCCCCGTGAACTTCTCTGGCTCACACGCAGCAGCCTCTGTTTGCGCTCAGCAAGCACAGCTGAGCTGCTGGTGGGCGAGATGGTGGCATCCAGAAAGCCAGGCTGTTGATCCTCTGTCAGTTGGCATCACATCTCAGCTCTCCGGTGCAAGGCCACGTCAGCAGAGTGGGACTCGCTTTGAGGCTTTGCTTTTGTACCCTGGGTGCAAAACTGCTTTGATCTGGGGACACTGCCAGGTCCCTGCTGCTTCTTCAGAAGTGGTCTGCGCTGAGGGCAGAGCCACCCCCTGATTGCTGTCACAGCCGTGTCCTGAGGAGGCCGTGTGTCACATGCCTTGTTCTCCCAGAAAACACGGAAGCCTTTGGGGATCCCAAGTGGTTTGGCCTCTTTGCAAGCAGAGTTTCTGGTCTTGCAGTGTGGCTTCGCCCTGCGTGGGCAACTCTGTCGGCCTGGCCACCCCATAATTATGTGGTTGCCTTTCTGGAGCACGTCAGGCCCTTCCAGTTCTCGAGCAGTGTGACCCCACATAGCAAAACAGTCAGGCTGTAGAACAGCTTGGAGTGTCAAAAATGCAGAGATAAATTCGGAAAGCCTCAAAATCCAGCCAAACCGGGTTTTCCAAGAGTAAAAATAAATCATGACGGTTTCTTTTTCCAGGTAAGTAAGAGGAGGACAGAAGCTACACAGTGTGAACGTGTGCTTTGTATATGGAAAAGGAAAATTTCTGGGTTGTATTTTCACCACATAACGGGCAGAAAGAAACTCAAAGATTTGAACATGTTCAGTGCAAGGCACTAGTCAGAACAGTGAAAGAACTGGACAGGACAAGAGCAAATGGCTTCAGGTGGCACCAGGGCAGGGTCAGGTTGGACATCAGGAGGAATTTCTGCACTGGAAAGGGTGGTCAGGCCTTGGCAGGGGCTGCCCAGGGAGTGGTGGAGTCCCCACCCCTGGAGGTGTCCAAGGCAGGCCTGGCTGTGGCACTCAGTGCTCTGGGCTGGGGGACAAGGTGGGCATCGGGCACAGGGAGATCTTTTCCAATCTAAATGATTTTGGGATCCCACGAACTGACCAGAGTAATTAATTCGGTCCAGTGGCATTCTTTTTGGTATGCTTCTGTCAGACTGGGTTCGGGCTTGGACGGCCAAAAAAAGGCCATAATAACTGAGTCTGCTGACAGCACAAAGCTCAGCAGTGACCCAGAGATGGGCTGAGGTTTACCAGGGAGGACATTATCAGTCGAGACAGGGAGAGATTAACGCTCCCCACTGTGGCACTGCCCCGGTCACAGCATGGGCACCCACAGCCACAGCCACATCCACCCAAGTGCAGGATCGCAGGGAAGCGCTGCTGGGGCACTGCACAGTTCACAAGAGGGCACTCAGGTGGGTGCAAACTGGCCATGAGTGAACACGGGCTGGACAGGAGGAAGATTCTCATCTGCACAGGGCAGCTTTGGGAAGAGCCTTCCAGCAGTAAATGACCCAGCTGGCCTCAAGGTAAGCTTGGCAAGATGATAAACTTCCTCAGTGAGAGGGTGGAGGTGGTTTGCCTGCCGCTGATGGGAGATACTGAGCTCGGTGAGACAGGAGGCTTTTAGTCCTGTGCCCTGTTCTCCTCTTCTGCTTCCAGCCAGAGGTTCAAGCCTGCTTTTATGCCCAAGCTTCTTACCCAAGACAACAGGGCTGTCGTAGTGACAACGCCGATAGCGTGACTTCCATGGCCAGGGCCATCCATCCATCCATCCCCCGCAGGAAAAGAGCTCTGAAAGAGCTTTGGAAAAACTCGGTGTCAGGAGTTGGCATGAAACAAACCCAACTGTATCACACTGCATTCAAAGCCACATCTTGTTAAATCATTCCGGGTGAAGAACTGGAAACGGGGGCAGTTCGCCAAGTTATTCAGCAGATGTACAGTCACGGCTGGTCAGCAGCTTTCTAAAATTACAGCAGTCATCTAAGACAGATTTTCTTCATGACCAAGGCACCTTTTTAATAGATTCAGTAAATAAAATGTTGTCTGGTAACATTTGTCCTAATCCTAAGGCAGAAAATTATCCTTGTGATGCTGCTTTTCAATTCCTTCGGCATTTTTTATTGCTGCTCAGAGTTTTTATTTTCTTTAAAAAAAAAAGTGTTGATCACCCACATTATCCTTAGAAAAACCAAGGCCACCTTAACTTTTATCTGCCAATGGATGTAAGAGTCTGTCTTATAGATATTTATTTTAAGAAGTTTAGAGGCAATTTAAATGCCATTCAAAATTTCTTTCTTATCTAGACTAGTTAACTTTGCCACTTCATTTTTTCTATGGGAGGTAACAACTCACTGCTGGCTCACTTCTCTTTTCTGTGTGCTCTTCACTGCCTTGTTTTGTGAAGCTTACCTTTCATCTCCTCTAGATCTGAGAGATGGTGAGGCATTAGGAAGCCAAAGAAATTACTGTACTTGCTAATACCCTCACACAAGAGGAGAAGCAAATATCAACTATGAACTCCTAGTCCCTTTGGTGCTAAATTGAAGACAGGTGCTTGTTCTGTCCTCCCCAAAGTCTGCAGCCATGCCAAAAGTACATCATGGTTATGGTAGCGAGGGCAGTCCATACCAGTTGTCACAAAATCCCAGAATCCTTTAGGCTGGAAAAGCCCTCCCAGCCCATGGATCCCCCCTGTGCCCGATGCCCACCTTGTCCCCCAGCCCAGAGCACTGAGTGCCACAGCCAGGCCTGCCTTGGGCACCTCCAGGGGTGGGGACTCCAAACCTACCTGGGCAGCCCCTGCCAAGGCCTGACCACCCTTTCCAGCAAGAAATTCCATCTGATGTCCACCCTGCCCCTCTCCTGGCACAGCTTGAGGCCGTTCCCTCTCCTCCTGTCCCTGTTCCCTGGGAGCAGAGCCCGGCCCCCCCCGGCTCCCCCCTCCTGTCAGGGAGTTGCAGAGCCAGAAGGTCCCCCCTGAGCCTCCTTTTCTCCAGGCTGAGCTCCCCCAGCTCCCTCAGCCCCTCCTGCTGCTCCAACCCCTTCCCAGCTCCGTTCCCTTCCCTGCACACGCTCCAGCCCCTCTGGGTCCCTCCTGTTGAGGGCCCAGAACTGGGCACAGCCCTGGGGGTCCCTCAGCGGTGCCAGCACAGGGACAATCCCTGCTCTGGGCCTGTGCCCACCCCGTGGCTGGCACAGCCCAGGGACCCTTGGCCTTCTTGCCCCCCTGGGCACAGCCGGGCTCATGTCCAGCCCCTGTCCCCAGCACCCCCAGGGCCTTTCCCAGCTTTCCAGCCCCTCTGGCCCAGCCTGGAGCTGCGGGGCTTGGTGTGACCCAAGGGCAGGACCCGGCACTGGGCCTTGTTGGAGCTCAGCCCACAGACCCAGCCTGTGCAGATCCCTGTGCAGACCCTTCCTGCCCCCCAGCACATCAACACTCCCACCCAGCTTGATTGTTTCCTGCAAACTTACTGAGGGTGCAGCCCCAAATCTCACACTCAAACTGACTGAGATCTGTCCTCTGTGCTCACAGTCTGGTTAGTTCTGGCTCTTACGTGTCTAGCTGGTTTTATGTTTTCCAGGCAGTGTGGGTTGCAAACAAAGCATATAATCCACAAATGCTTTTGGAAAGGTTTTTCACCTCCCAAAGCCGGGCTGGGAGTGGTGGCAAACAGAGCTCTGCAGAGGAAAGATGTTGTTTTGCTCTGCAGCTTTGCCCGGAGCTCAGCTGATCCTGCCTGCGTTTCCGAGCACAGATCTGTGTAACGGGAATGAAGGGGCACGTCAGTCATCGGGCTCTTTCTTTTAGCCCTGTTAGCAGTTCCAGCACAAAAGGCAAACCAACAGAAAGAGGGCATTCAGCTGGGGTTAGCTGAGTCTTAGTCTTTTGTCTGGAAAATCCTTAACTTCCCCATTGAAGCCTGGAGTAACAAATTAAAAACTTTTGTCCGCTTGCCCCTTCCAAATCGGCGCGTGTCAGCAACGCTTTGAGCTCGGATAAAGGAAGAGGGAGTTGTAGGCTGGGTTTACCATTCATTAAGGTAAATTCATTTACTCTTCTTTATGCAGGGTTGAAAAGTGCTCGGGGCACGGGCCTAGAGAGAGGGAGGCTGGATAAACAGTGCTGCCATGTCCTGCTCTGGGAATGCCTCTGAGTCTCCTGTGGAAAGCAGGCAATTTTTCCTGCTGATGTTTTGGCCATCTGTGGGAGACTACTCTCAGGGAATTGTAGACCTTATTGTAAAATTCACATGCAAGTTAATAATGTTGTTATAAAATAGAGTGGGAAAATAGCTTTTTCACAACAACTGAGTTGCTTTTAAACCAATCTATATATTTAGATAAGACATCTGTAGACATAACTTGCTTGAGACCTTTCATAATTAATGCCATAAATGCAATGCAATCCATCATATACCTGTAGTTTCAACTTTCAGATCACTCACTCAAACTCTGGATTCTAGGATAAAAACTTTGTTTCCTCCTCTGCCTCCTTTAATGCCTTCTTATTGCACAGAAGCTGCTTTTCATCTGGGACTGATCAGATGATTCATTTTTGGATATTGCAGTTTTAACAAGGCTTAATTTATTATATATTAATATTATATTTAAGTGAAGTGTTGGGCTACATTCTGACTTGCCCGTCCATCTCCACATCTTCCATGGTTTGTCTTTGCGGCAAGATTTGCCACAATATCTAGATCAACCTCATTTTTTAAATTAAAACAGGTGTATTGTAACATCAAGAGCTTTAAATTGTTAAATTGTTTGATTTCTCAGTGTTATTTGATCAAGTCCCCTTTTTTTTTTTTTTTGTGAAATGTTAGTGTGCCCTCTCTTTCCTTCTTCGCAACAGTTTTCCTTTCTTCTGCAAGAATTTACTCCTGTAAATAAATCCTGTAGCCTCACGGAATGTGCTTCTCAGCTCAGTTCTTAAGTGCTTATTCCTTAAGATGGAAGAGTTTATCTCGCCTGGCACTGAACTGTTTTTGTTGACAAGGTGTTTTGGCATATCCTCTCCTTTAGCTTTCCATCATTTTCCTGAAACCACACAAACCTTTGTCCAGAAGTTTTGGGTACCTCTTATGTGTTGTTGCTCCTGTGATGTTTTTATTTTCTCTCTGTATTGCTTAAGTCATGTTATCCTACCATGAACTACTAAAATCCCTGTATCATCTTTGGTTTATGAGTAGGAAAGTCTGGAAACAAGATTTCTTCCTCCTGTCCCATTGTCCCCCCCCCTTAAACCAGCATTTCTCATTTAGACAACACATAAATACTGCTGTACTAGTTGAATTTTTTTCCTAAACTTGCATAGCTATACCTTGTAGAATTTAGATTTCTTGTTTAAAGTAGAGAAAACAAATTGGTGGATTAATTTAGCGTTTCAGATGGCCTCATTTTCAGATTACTCTATAGCGGGAACTTAATTTTATCCAGTCTTTCTTCTCCCCTTGCTTTGCTTTTGTTTTGCCTGACTTGTGTTTGTAACACCATCTAAAACTTTAATATTTACATTTATTTTTTCAAATCTGTCTCTAAAACTTCACTTCTATTATGTGGGCAGCGCTTGCAGTATAAAACCCCATTTAAGTGGTCAGTCTATGAAGTTCCTGTTTCCACTTTTTTATCCATATTAATACCTTTGTTTGTTTTATCTTGTGTTACTTATTCTACTTACATGCATTGTCTAATATCACCATGTTCTAGCAATTTTCTTTCCTGTTGAGTCCGTAGTTTGTCTGCAAAATGTTTTAATGCAACTGCTCATTCAGGGGCCTCGGTATTTGGGTGCCCAAGTTCTGAAATGCACCTGAACTCTGTTCTGCTGAAGGGTGAGGTGCCTTCAAAGTACAGCCTTTTGAAAGTATTCCAGGAAAAGTGCAGAAAGCCATTGTTCAGTTTTGAAAACTTATTTCAGAGTTGTCTTTCTTGAATGTTTTCGAGGGCTTGAATTGTCTGGCAGGGCTTTACAGATTTGGCTGACTTTGGTTTTATCTTTGCTTTCCCCCTCCTGTTCTCTCAGCTTTTTGTTTTAACTGTTTGAACTCTGACTTTGTGAGATGCCCTTGCTTCTCATTCTGCAGAGGTACTGGCGTCCTTTTGACAACTGACAGGCTTTATTAGCAGCAAAATTGATGTCTAGCTCGTTAACTATTGAAACTGTAAAAGTTACCTACACTGTAGTGCTGGAAGGTGAACAGGATCATTTCCCTGTCATAGATACCCAGCAGATTTGAAGGAATTGGTAGAAGTCAGATAATTCTGCACTAGTGAGATCTTTTAAATGTTTTAGTAGGGCTAAATGGGCTCCTTTCAGCCCTACCTTACACATCGTAGAGCACAAATACGTTGTAACTGCCTTTTTCAGCGAAGAAATCTTTCCTAATATCCAGCCTGAAATGTTTTTAATTCATTAGTTCTGATTGAGAAGGGTTTTACTTTTAAGTAAAAACTCACTTCACAACACTAAAATCCTACCTTACACACGTTCTAAAAAAAGAATCTTACTCAGATCAGTTGGCAGCATAATTATAGTGGCTCGCCATTAGTTCTTACTTTTGTGAATAATAGAAATGTGCTTTATACCACATCTGTATTTTTGTGTGATTGCATTTATTTAGAATTCTTGTGAAGTGTGAGCTGTGAAGGTACTATCCCTCACTGCTTTTTATTCACACCAGTGAAAAGCAAACAAAGGGCACTTTACTGCAATGTATTGTTGCCATTCTAGCCTACTGTCTAATTATACACATCTGTGGTAGCATTTATTACAATAAGCACTCAAAACATTTCCAGATAATTTCCCACATCTTTTTTATGTGGCTTGTTGCAAAATAAGATTTAATTTGGGATACTGGTGATCACTAGCTCTCAGGAGAACAGCAGAGGGAAGATATGGGATATCTAGGGGGAAGATGGGGGATCCTAGAGGACGAAAGATAAAATTAAAAGCAGACTAAATTGGTGATAACTTTCATACTGATTAAGTTTCTTCTTCCAAAACTACAATTTTTATTGTTTGTACCAGTAGATGAGGAAAATCTTGTGATGCCAAATCAACATAGTGCAAATCAAATTAACTCTGATTACTGCTGAGTACAGGTGAATTATTTCTGGATCACAAAAACCTTACTAGGCCTTCTACTGATTTTCCAGCTGTTGGAAGTCTAGGCAGCACGTTAGGAACCAGCAGTGTTGCTGAAATTTACTCCCACTACTGTTGAAGAACAACCCAGGAAAATAAAAAGTGGGTGGCTGCCAGCATCTTTCCTATGTGAAAAACTTAGATCAGTGATAATTATAAGTTTTTGAGACAGCTAAAGGGAGAAATAAAGGGATTAAAATTGTACAAGGCAGCTTCAGGGAAGATCCCAAATGACTGATTGTTAAACAGAAGCAAAGTTCTTTTGTTACAGTTGTATTGTAAAATAGTGCTTTAAATCATCTGTGGGTTTTATTGGAATGGGTATATCGAAATCATATTTTGTCCTGAATTTTTGGACTTGATTCTCTGATATCTGTGTTTCTCTATAATGTGTTACAAGATTGCCAATTGCTCTGAGCTGGTGACTCAGTAATACAACAACAAAAATATTACTGCAATGTTTTGCATTTCACCACAGTTCCATGTGTGTTTTTATGTTCTTCTTCCATGTCACATAGGACATATAATGAATAGTGCTGAGTAGTTTGAATTCTGTTCTAATAAAGCATGTTCTCATGAAACAATGCACTTACTGCAAGGTTTAGTTGTGCTCAGATGAAACTCAGTGGACTCTGTTCTGTAGGAAAACAAAGCAAGGACAGATGTGTTAGTGGGTCATAGAGGACATGACCTAGCTGTGGCTCTAGAAACCCTGTTTTAAATGGGGGTGATCTCTGCCATCCCAGTTGCTTACAGAGGGTCATTTTAGCCCTTTAGTCCATGAAACCTTTGTTTTTACACCGTGCTGTTTTGTTCTCTGCAAACTGTGCCTTTCTCATATAGGGTTTGGTGGATTAATATGAAATTGCAGGTAGTGCAGAAATAATACATAGACTTGTTTGGGGTTAGCAAGTCTCTTAATTAGTTGTTAAGAATTCTTTTATTCTGAATTATATTTTCTTTATTGGATATGCTATTCCCCTGAGGTTTTTCATTTTAATGACGAGGACTTCCAATGTTTAGATTCAAGGGCCAGAGTTTGATTGCAGTTCTGTTGATGATTTGCTGTGAAACGGAGTGTGCCACCAGCATCTTCATACTTCAGCTTTCATAAATAATACTTAGTGGCTGTTAAGGAACATGAAGGACATGTGTTTTCGTGTTTTTGAGGAAGTTGGGTAGAGAAAAAGACCGGGCTTATGAGAATGCCAAAGAGAAAAAAAGATACCTTCTAAAAGCATTGGATTAGCTCAAGAAAGAGTGCTTTTTCTTTATAATCACTCCTTTGATCTTCTCAAAGGAAATAGGTGGGCATTTTTTGTTAAAGAGATACCTGAGCATATGTTACAGCTACTTAGATTATGTCATTTACTTTGTACCTTTTGCATGGGCAAGTGCTTATTTCATCTGAAATTAGCCTACCTTCAGCCTTTAGTGTGATAGATACACTGAATATATTATTATTATTATTATTAACTATTTTTCTTTGTCTGAATCCTATTGTACATGAAATACATGGCTACCTACAAATACTAGCATAACTGAAGGCTTTATATGCTTGTAAAAAAATATGTTCTCGTAAAGACAGAGGTCTGTTTTTTTTATGTGTGTATCTGCAATCCCATAAGCAGACGTAATTTTTTGATTTTACCTTGAAGTGGCTACATTTTAGTCAAGCAGCAGATATTGAGCATACTTTGACTAAGATTTGCCTCTTCCAAAACAAACCTCTGGACTTCTTTGGTTTTGCAGTGAATTGAAAGTAAGCAGAAACATATTTGATAGTTTGGCTTGAACTGGAACTGTAAATCAGAAACGCTGATAGTTGACATGCAAGTGCACATCTTGTTAGATATTTTTGATTAGAGCTTTGATGTTGTTTCTCTTCAGTTTGGGTCATTCCAAATAGCATAAGCTGTTTGTAACAGGATTGTCCAGTGGAAGCCTTTGTAGGATAACCTACCGTGTTTCTTGGTGTTTCTTTACAGTATGGGATTTAATGGTATGGTAAAGAAATTCCTGTGATATATTAATCACCTGGGACCTATTCAAAGCATTTAATTTGAAGTCTGTCACCTTTGGAACTAACAGAGAATTAAGGAATTAAGGAAGAAGCATGTCCCCTAAACTGCAGATCACCTTGTTTCATGCCGTCTAAAGTTGTCTGTTCTTCAAGGCTACTTGCCAGTCAAAAACAGTGAAAGTCATTCCAGAGTAATGATTTTTTAAGATTAGTTGATATTTAGGAAAAAAATACATATAATTCCAGTTTAATGGGAATATTTTTATTTTTCTTAAAGGAATTCCCTACGGTTCTGCTTATTCATCAGATGGACAGGCATGAAGGTGCATGGACAATATTGCCATTGATGAGAGAGTAAGTGTAATGAATGCCAGTTATTTTGAGAATTTTTTTGTAACCAAGAATATACATATATATTAATTATTCAGACCTCTTTTTTTCAGAAGTAAAGTTTTCAAATGAGAGTTGCAACCTTATATTTTCACTTTCTTACTCTACTTTTTTTTTTTTTTTTTTGGTTTTCCAAAGAAATTTTCTATTAGTTAAATCAGAGAAAGCTATTTTAAGTAACAGTATTTCCATCTTAATACTTCTGGAACATGGATTTTTTTTGTGTCTACTCTTTCACTTACTGCTTTTGGCAAATGAAGACATGGAGTAGTTTAGAAGTATATTGAGGCTTTTACTGTTTTGTTTTCTCAATGGCCAATAAAGGAAGGAGAGAGTTTAACCCATTCTGCAACAGCTGGTGATGCCTGTAATTGTGATATAAGATGCATTTGGATCAGAAAACTGTTTTCAGTTTTCCTCAGTTCTGTAGTTGTCAGAATTTTTAAGGAGGCCTCTTATGGCCAGTTAGGACAATTCTTAATTTTTAGTTCTAGGGCACAAATGAAGTAGGGCAAAGTATGTAAGTTCAGAAGATGTAATCAGTGGATGTCTTATGACACAATACCCTTATTGTGTGCAGTAATTCTTTTGTGGGGACCACTCTGGTGTTTTCCCTTTGCCTTTCACCCACCTGCTATCCTGTCTCTCCAGACATTTCTCTGCCTGAATTTCTAGCTGAGCTCTGAAGTGTGAGAGAAAAGCATTAAATACCATTTCTGATACAAATGCATATGAATAATTGATTGCAAAGTACTTATATCTGGGGAATGTGCCTTGAATTTGTCATTTTGTTCATTAGCCGCTTTGTTAGTAAAATTTTAATTTCTGTTTTTAGCTGTGCTGTTACCTATGGTAGGAACTCCTCATGGATTTTCTTCTGGGAAGAAGATACAAGAATACAAGTTGTAAAACTGCTAGAAGCACTTGGGAGATTCAACAGGTCTAAGGTGAAATAAAAATTTATGTATTTAACTTCCTTTAGAATGCGGTTGGCTGAGTTTTTCCAAATGGAAAAAGATATATCTAAACAGCTTAAAATAGGGGGATAGGTTTCTGTTGCTGAGACCAACACCAAAAGATTTGAAGAACAAAGAGAAAAGTGTGGCCACCAAGAAACAAATTAAATTTGGCAATGCAACTGACATGAAAGGTGTTAATATTTAGAATTTTCAGTGTTCAGAAAAAAAAATCATCCTGGTGTCAGCCTGTAGTAAAAGAAGCAAAAATCTGTGTGAAATATGTTCTGCCTCTTTATTGTAACTCTGCTTCAGGACTCACTTTAGCGTATTTACTACTTTGCAGGCCTGTGGCCTTGCAATGTCTTCTGACAACTCTTTTCTAAAATGGGAATAATGATAGTTCAGAGATCTTACCTTTTTAAACACTTGGTCTTCAGAATGGCTGAGTGATTATATTCACACCCTTGGAATATCCATTTATCTTTTTTTTTTTTTCTTCTGTTTCAGAAACACCTGCTCCTAATTGACATTCTCAGAACAGAAAGATGAACATTTTTTCTAGATGCTGCCCTTTTGCCAGTTTTAGTCTCTCCCTTGCATGACATGCAGATTCTATTAAAACAATGCATTATGTTCCAACCTGGATTAAAAGGAAATTAAAATGTTTGCTTTTGTACATAGTAATTGTCATCTCAGTGTAACAGCCCATACCTGATTCTTTACATATAGTAGTAATCCATCAGTCACAAAATTTAAGGTGAGTTGTAAAAGACTTGTCTGAAGGACAGTTTGTCTTTGGGAAGCATAAGAACTCATAAAATATCACACTCAGACACAGTGAGGCTGTGACAGCTGAAACCTTCTGTCCTCTCTATCAGACACAAGCCTTTGAGTTTGGCACTCTTTGCTCGGTGTTTCTGAGTAAGTGGATATGAAAGTGAGAGGGTAGAATCAACTCGATGAGCAAGTTAGGTAAAGTCACCTCTACCCTCCCTGAGGTCTGGTGTCGAGTTTTGTTGCATCACATTCTTTCAGCTATTAAATTGTTCTAAAGATTTTGGAGTATTTGTTGCCCTAAAGTACAACCCATCTTTTCCACTTCCAGGAGAATACATTTATGTTATTATGACTTAAGTGTTACTGGAGGCCAAAAAAGTGTTCCGTCCTTCCACGAGAGAGAAACTCCAGCTGCCAAAAAGGATAACAAATAAAAGTGGTCAAGTGGTTTATTATAATTGAGAAAATGAAAAGATTTCTAATGTGTAGCATTTAATATGCTTTTTCCAAGTGTGATACAATTTAACATGAATTCTAAATCTGCTGATTTAGCAGAAGACATGACTTAATTGATGCCACCTACCTGTTCGTTCTAGTTTACTTCTAGACATTTTGCTAATAAAAAAATTCAGGAATAGATTTATTTCCAGGAATTTGAGTTTTGTGTGCTCTTTAATACTGCAGGTACGTAATATTGTCACCATTAGGCTTTGTGTGTTTAGAAGCATAATTTAAAGGAATTATAATTGGCAAAAAAATTGAAAATTAAGTCATGGTTAGTAGCTGTACCAAATTTTCGGGGGGGGGATTGCCACATGTATTGTCAGAGGACAGGATGAAGAGAAAAGCTCTTTTCTTTATAAGTCTGGTTAAAAACAGATGGCTTTTTTTTTTTCATACTAAGATTTCTGATTTTTTTTTTTTTAATGCTACTGCACTTGAAGGCACATTTGTAGTATTTTAATAACCTAATCATTATAGTTATCTTTAAAGTAGCTTTTGACAAAACAAAATTGACTGTCCTGTAATTGGAGTTCACTGAAGAGTTCTCCTTTCTGGATCCATCAAACCAAAACAACCTAGAAAGTCAGACAATAACACAAGGCTTCAAGAAGATAGCGTAAACATCCTTCAAGAAACACCTGCTGAAGACTGAGGAAAATTCTTGAACTTTCCTCCCATCCTCCAGTGTTATGCAGTAGAGGATAATCTTACTCCAGATTTTGCAAGGTTAATGAATGCCACCTTCAGAGAGCTCTTTTTACCTGGTAAGTCATTCTTTATTGTGTGCCAAAAACTACATCAGTGCAGCTTTCAAGCTTGGAAATCGACGTGCTTTTAAAAGCAGCTAAATTTTACCTCAGAATTTATTTCAGATACAACTCTTCTTACATGTACCACATGGAGTTACAAGAGAAATTTTCAAGTCTGAAAACATGCATCAAGGTTCTAGAAACTGCACAAATAAAATGTTATTAAGAGCTTAGAGCTGATCTTCTATAAATATCTGTAATGGTATTAAAACTTTGGTGTGATCACAAGTGTTAATACATATTGATAAATATTTGCATTAACACCTAGCTCGAAATTTCATACGTGTCTCTTCTAACAGGTGAAGAAGGTTGGATGTTTTTTGTGTATCTTTTATACTTCTGTTCTGGGGCTTTGTTTTCTGAAAGCTTTTCTGGTTTTGTTCTTCTAAGATACATTTTCAAGTGGAACTTTTCCAGAAAATATGAAAATAATTTCCTGCCTACTTGGTTTTCTTAATCTAGTTGGAAAAAAAAAAAATGTTTGCTCTGCCAATTAATGCCTGATTATGCAGTGTTATATGATGTCATGTGACTTTTTATTACATAGGAGGTAGAGTTAATGCTTTGTGAAATCCCTGGCTTTGGATTCAAAACTCTACTATAAAGCTGTATGACTACATTTTTTTGTAGGTAATTCCCTTTGTTTTTTTAACGAAAAAAAATGAGAATACTCTTACATTTCTTTAAAAACTTTTAAAAGCGGGATGGGCCATTGCAGACTGCTACAGAAGTGTTTTGGGTTTTTTTCCAAATATTAAAGCCTTTCCATTAGTGCATCGAGTTCCTGTTACTCCATCTTAACACTAAAATGAAATAAAGGGTAACTGTTATCAAACTGTTGGTCAGTCAAGAATAATTAATCCTTCAAGTCCTTGTGTGGTCAGAGCACAGGGAAGTGAGCAGGTAGGAAGGCAGCAAACATCAAATTAGGTGATGGATGAGTCCAGCAAGAGGCTGAAATGAGTTGTTCACAAGCATGGAAGTTACATAGCAGCAAAGGGAAGTTACAGGAATATTTATTTACTCCATTTACAGCACTGGCTGCTGCCTATGAGACCTCCTGGATGGTGTCAGGAACACAAAGCAGAGAAGCAATGACAGCAGAATGCACAGTGTTTCAGAGTACTTGCTCATCTCAGGTCTGACCACTTCATTTTTAAGATGGAAAAGAGATGATTATTTTTAATCTGATAGTTTTCCTCCAAACACCCTGCAGATGGTTGGGGGTTTTGGGGGTTACCCATAATTTATTCACTTCTGGGTGTCATGTAAACATTCATAGCATCACTGCACGACCAATTTTAAATGTTGATGTGAAATGCCAAACAGTTTTCAATGTAATATGAAACTACAGTCCTATTTTAAAATAATTTTTTTTATCATGTATATAAAACTGCCCTGACTGGCTTTCTTAAAAACATAAAATTGTTTCTCTCTAAGTATTGTGGGAAAGAAGATAGAATGAACATTTAGAACCACAGTGCTGTGTTCGAAACAGCATTTTTATTACTATGCAAAGGAACGTGGTTAACAATAAATGGTTAACGTAAGCACAAAAACCAGATGTTAAGATTGAAATATTTGTATGACAAATAATGGGGTTTGCTTTACACAATGAACCGTGCTGAATAAAGACTGACTGCAGATAGTTTTTTCTGAGGCCTAAAGAACATTCAGTAGGAAGATGAAACTCCTTGTTTCTCTTGTCCTGCTCGTTCTGAACGAGGGTGTTTCACTTCTCCATTCCTAGTAAAGGGTGTCTTACCCCTCCAGCTAAATTGAACGGATCATTATATGAAAGGAACAGAAAAATCAGAATACATTTCCTTGAACTGAAATGCCTTTTTGCTCAGAAAATTTTACTAATTTGCAAAAATAATATAATTTAGTTAACCTTCAAACCTTCAAATATTGTGAGATTATATATTACACTTTATTTAGGAAAGGAGAATAATGCCAAGATAGATTTAGTCTCGAGAAGAGAAGGCTTAGAGGTGACCTCATCACTCTCTTCAACTACCTGAAGGGAGGTTATAGCCAGGTGGGGGTTGGTCTCTTCTCCCAGGCAACCAACAATAGGACAAGAGGACATGGGCTCAAGCTCTACCAGGGGAGGTTTAGGTTAGATGTTAGGAAGAAATTCTCTACAGAGAGGATAATCAGGCATTGGAACGGCCTGCCCAGAGAGGTGGTGGATCCACCATCCCTGGAGGTTTTTAAACAGAGATTGGACGTGGCCCTTAGTGCCATGATATAGTAATTGGAGTTGGATCAGGGGTTGGACTCGATGATCTTGGAGGTCTTTTCCAACCCAATCTATTCTTTGATTCTCTGATTCTGAGGAGCTGCGAGGGACGCAGGGTGAAAAGGGTGTCCTGAAGGATCACTGGGAAGCCGTGAGGGTGCGCTGAGGGAGACGAGACGAGACGGGGCAGGGCGGGTCGGTGGCTGCTGTGCTGCTTCTGCATTGCTTTTCTGCATTGCTTTTCCCACCCTGCAGAGGGAGGTGGTTTTCTGCAGCTCCCCTCAGAGTCCTCAAGCGCGAAGTCCCCGCTCTTCCCGCGCTCTGTGAGGCGGACGAAGGCGAAAGGTGCTTTGAGAAGCTCCTTAAATGGTTGTGGAGCCTCCCTCGGGCAGATTTCGGGCTGTAACAGAGGTATTAAGTGTTAAGCAGCGGCGTGAGAGGGGCAGAGCAGGGTGTTTGGGTGAAGTTCCTGAGGGAAAATGTTTTTGAACTTCTTGATGAGGTAACTCAGAGAGGACAGAGAGTTTCAGAGAGGTAAAGCTGAGGGAACTTGAAAAGCACAGTGTGGGGATGTTCTGAGGCAAAATCTGAGGTAAAGTGTGAGGGACAGACTGAAGATCTTGGGAAACTCAGGAAAACCTGAGTTTCACCT